AACCTTAAAAGTGACTTAATTGTAGAATTTCTTAATGATACGGCCAGTAAAGATCATTGCAGCTTTGTAATTAAAAATGCTTACATATGTTTGTAATAATAAAACATATGCTATCCTCTAATGAGAAAGATGATGATCTTTATTGTACGGGATAACCCCTGGAAGCTGCTATCTAAAGTTCTATTAACAACACACCACAATTCTCTGCTGTGCTACTTCTACAAAAAATGTTCAAAAAATAACACCAAGTTATGAGATGCACTAAGTTTTCATTTAAGATATAAATACAGCACACTGATTCTCACATTTCTTTTAGTGACATTGTTTTGCTTCTTTAGCTGTATGGCCTTCCCTTCAGACAGCTCATTAGCATGACCTGTGCCTTAAAAGCCACTTGCAAAAACCCTATAGACTCATAGAAACAAAGGAATGCAAAAAGTATTCAAAAGGCCATCTGATCAAGTCCTCGTCACTGAGCTTCAACAGGCACATATGTATATGGTTGTGTAAAAATTCTGATTTTAAGGAAATGCTGTGATCTGAAAACAGCTGGAATCCTCTGTTACTTATCAGAAATTACAACAGCCATCTATAGTTTACTACCTTGGCTAATACATTCATATTTTTGAGGTGATTTCTCACTTCTTCACCTCTCCTTTAGTAACAACCCTGCATTAAATCCCTGCTCAACAAAGTCAACAGGAAAATTCCCATGAACTTCAACAGAAGCAGGTTTTCTCTGTTTTTCTTCTTGATTTAGATGAGTGGCCATGGAAATCTTTGGCTGATAGATTTATGTAGAGACAGCAAGACACCTAAATTTTAAACCACTTTAGCCTGTCTTTTATTTGAGTGTGTGCTTTGGGAATACATTTAGATAATTTTTATTTCAGTGTAAATCTGAAGGTAAAATGTCACTTCTAAACCCACATTTAGCAATTTTTCATTTAATGGATTTGTGATGAAGTGTTGAGCTTAACGGGAGAAATTAAAAGTTTTTTTGCTGAGCCCTGATGACATAGATACAGTTGTCTCTGCCTCGAGCAAGGGAAAGCACTAGATCATCTCTCTGAGTCTCTGTCAGCCCTATGATACTTTAACATAACTAGTTTGCTCTTAACTTCAATCAGACATACTTGTGGGTAAGGCACACCAGAAAATAAAAAGAACATGTTGCAGGAAAAATAATGTGAAGTACCTGTTTAAATCTGTTAGCTACAGGAAGCAAATAACCAGACTTATTTAGGCTCACTACTAACAGGTTTTCTGTTCCTAAATAAGATAGTGAGTGAAGCACTAAGATGGTCTCTTTGATGTAAATCTCATGCTGAGATTCTTTCTCCATATAATGATGAGGAGAAACACTAGAGCTACTGACAAAAGGGCCAATGAGAATGGGGTTTCATCCTGCCAGAATTGCCCAGGATTAGTAAAACATCATCCTCTGGATGCAGTCTGGTCCTCCTTCTTTCAACTGCTCTCTGATGAATTCAAATATCCAAACAACTTAAAAGGAGACAAGGCTTTGCACAATAATGGAAAACAAATCTTTTTGGTTTTTTTGTTTTTACACAAGACTTTAAGGTTCTTGAGCATAGAAAGAATCTGAAAAAGCTGCTTAAAACTTGTGATTTAGATGTGCTATGGTTCTAATTGGTTCTTTTCATTTTAAGTCTTGTCCTAACTCCTACAGAAATGAATGAAAATCTTTGCAGTAACTTCAAGGGCTGATAGATCTGCCTCTCAAGCTGCTCTGCAGGGATACCCACTCTCTTGTTTTCTTGACTTCTTGATTATTCCTTTGAAAAGAGGGTAAGAAATTAAGTAACCTACCTGTTTAATTTGTCTAACTTAAAACTAATTATAAAACAGTTAATTTTCCTCTGGGTGAGTATAATGTCCACCCAAGGAAAGAAGGATGCAGCTCTTCCAAAGGAGAGAAACAAGTTACAGTAGCCCTAAAGGACAAGGGTAAAACTGGGTAGCTCATAACAGTAAAGGGCCTAGCTGGGTTCCCTAAATAATGAACATGCAAGTTAAAGAACCAAATTTAATGTCCTTAGTATTTGTAGTAGCATTTTTATCCTAGGAACCCACTGTGTGGGGGTGACATATTTGAGAATCTTTGTTGAAGGGGTTAGAAATTTCCCAAACTGGCAGCCCCAGGATGCTGTCCATCAAGATTACATAGTCAGCCATGCTAGTCCTCCCTAGGTCTTCTCTGGGGATGTGGGTGAGAATAGAGGGACTATTTTCTTGCCTTTTGCAATACTGCTTTTAATCCTTATGAGTGTTCTGCCATCTGCCTCAAACAGACATCCAATAAAGACTTTGGGGTTTTTATGAGCAGCAAAATTATTCTGTCTTAAGAGTGCCACATGGATTTCCTTCCCATGTGACCTGCTTCCAGGGCTAGAAGATATAAATCTCGTCCATAACTAGTAATGAAGTTGGGCAGAGGAGCTCCAGTCAAGTCAATATTTCGGTAGGTTCCATAGAAAAACTCAGTCCCATTCTGTGGTGTCAATATATGTCTCTGAGGGCAAAATAAAAGAATAATAAAATAATAGAAACAAATGAGCAGATGGAGAGAAAATTTTAGATTTATTTTGCAGCTGGTTAATTTAATATGCTACTTTTATTTCTCAGCTGATTAGTGCTCTCCTTTCCCTCTTCATGGAACTTAACCATCAGCTTGACAAAAGTAAACTTATATGCACCCAATAATGATGCAAAGCAGGAAATCACCTAGCAAGAAAGAGAGTGGCACCTTGCTTCAGTTATCCTGGGAATCCACGGGTCAGACCAGTGTATCTAGCATAGTACACTGACCTCTAAAAAAATTTTGGTGTGATAAAACCCTTTGTAAGCCTTTATTAGTTAAACATGGCTTGATCTCCGATCTTTGTGGGATCACACCCCCAAAGGTGAGTGAGGATGGCCCCAGCAGAGGATGATGTGGGAAAGAAGCTGGTTCCCATCACCAGCAGTGACACAGCCCCTGTGAGATACAGCTCAGAGTGTGTGCTGCCTGAGACAGCCAGAGAAAGGTATGGATGAAGGATCTTGGGGAAAGAGACAAAGTTTGTAGGGAAATGTTGTGTGCCAGACAGATTCAGAATAGTTTAAATATCCTTCAAATCTAAATTCCCCGTTTTCACATCTTACAGGATATCTCAAATCTTTTTTCTTTTTGTCCCACTCTTATTAAGTAAATATCTAAGTGGTAACTTATGGCAAAGAGTTACACTTGCAACAAAAATACCAACATAAAATACTGTCTGGCATAATTTGAAAAATGTGTATTGCTTTTCAATCTGTCAGGACCACCTGCATACAACTGCTCTCTGAAAGTTGAGATTTTATTTGCTAATTTTTGGCGGATCTATTTAGGGCTTTAGGAGGCAAGTTTTTTAACCTGTGGGTTTAATGGTTTTGTTAGGTCACTATCTTTTTTTGTGAGCTTTTCATTAAGTGTCATTGTCAAAAATTAAAAGAGCTGTTTTGAAGAAACAAACTTTTATGAGGTTCATGGTCTGTGAATTCACCGGCCAAAGACAGACTACCACTTTCCTTGACATCAAAATAGAACCAAATTTATACACACTTCAGACTTTGCTCGCGGCTTCTTGGTTCAATAAAAAAGGGGGGAATTAAATAGTTTCCTTGCTGTACTCCCAAGGGAATCCCGCTAAGTTAAAGCACATTTTAATCGCTTGAGCCGGCAGCTTTATTCGTAAGCGTTCCCCAATCTTCAGGGAAATCTAATTTCACAAATAGATCAGAGTCACTTCAAACGCAGCTTTCAGTTGCCATCCACCGGGGGACAAACGGGGAGGAGGAAGTTTGTCAGAAAAGACCCTCTCTGAGCCCAAGAGTGATTACCAGAGGTGTCTCCATCGACTGCCACCCACCTAAAGTCGATAGTACTCTAATGAGTACGCCGGTGTGGACTATATAAGAGAAGCGCATGGCCCTGAAGGGCGCATCCCCCATCTCCGGGCGCAGCACCGAGCGCCCCACTCCGCGCCCGGCGGAGCCTCCGCGGGGACACGGGCTCTGCGACGGCGGCACGGCACCTCGCTCCCCAGCCCGCACGCACCCAGCCGGACTCGCCTCTGCCTGAAGGTAAGCGGCCGCCAGCCGGCTCTCCGCGGGGGATCTTGGCGTGGAACGAGGAGGTGCCGCTGCCCCGGCAGCGAACCGCGGGTCGCTCCCCGGTTACTCCCCGGGTTTGCCGTGCGCCCCGGCACGGCAGGGAGAGAAGGAGAGCCCGAGCCGTCGGGGAAAGCCGGCTCCCTTGGGGCTCCGATTAACTCCTTCGCCCAAGAGGATTTGCAAGGCAGGCCAGCTAGAAAACAGTTTGCAAATAACAGAATTTCCCTCCCTCCCTCTTAATCCTACCCGTTCTCTATAATTAGAATAGCTTAGGGCATTAAGTGCTGCTCTCGAAGCCCCAGCCTGTGGTAATTGTTTTCGCCCTTTCTACCCTGATGTGCGGCACTTCCAATGTAACCTGCCCCTCAGTGAACTCCATCCGACTGCCGTCCGTGCTCGCTCCCCGAACTCCCGGTGTGGCACCGCCAGGGCGGCTGGACAAGGCTGGCCCACCGCGGGGCTCCCGCGCCGCCCCGCTCTGCCGGCAGAACCCGGAGGCACCCGCGGGCGCGGGGACTCCAGGGCCAAAGGGAGCCGAGCAAATCCCCCGCGAAACCCTGTACGGCGAACATGTGCGGCGCGGTTAAAAACCTTCCTCTAATCCGTGTCTATTAAACGCAGCCTCCGTGGAGCCGGGCGAGCGCGGCGGCACCGCACGGGGGCTGGCGGGGCCAGCGGGTGGCGGCCCGTCGGGTCCCCGCTCCGCGCCCCCTCCG